AAGTAGTGTCTGATTGCATAATAATAACAATAATAAAGAGAGAGCTGTCCAGCCTGCACACGGGCCAATTGAAGGATCAACTGCACGAGGCTGCAGCACTCCTGGCAGGGGAGGAGTTGCCAGGGAGGTGCCAAGCCCACCAGTGCAAAGCTTCCACCACACCAACCTGTGGCATTCAGAGAGCTTTGTCCCTGAATCCCTGCATGGAAGCAGGGGGGTAGCACAGTACCCACTATTTTAACAAAATAAGGGAAGTTGTGACTGCAGCAGAGGCAAAACTCACCAGTGAAGCTCCAGTGCCTGTTTCACACTGTGCCTTAGAGCTGTGCTGGGCAGGATTGCTCCAGCTGCAGGGACCAGACTCAAACCCTGCTGCATGCCACAGCTATGCCTGAGAATTCATGGAGAGCTGGAGGAATGTACTTTATGGGGTGGCTGGATCATATGTTTATGGCCTGAAAGAGGAGATCCCAACCCAAACCACTTTGTTGGTCTCTGATGGTGAGAGGCTGAATATGAACATGATATAATTCATGCTGGAGCATGGGTATGAAAAGAGAACATGCAGGCTTTGCCTGGGACAGCCCCAGCCTCAGTAGCTGCCTTGCCATTAATTATGGGTAATGGGCTAATAAACACCTTCACATGCAGAGCACTGCACCTTCAGCCTGTAGGAGCCCCCCTGGAGAGATGAGCCAGAAGGACTAAATGTGAAACCCTGGATGCTGGAATTCTGCATTGCTGACAGCATTAGCATTAGAGTTGTAGGGGACCAAGTGTTCTGGATGCCTGCAGACAATAATTCACCCCAAATGGAACTTCTGAGAGTTGACAGCAATTGATGGGATATTTTCTGCACCTTCTGCACAGATGTGAGTAGTTGTAGCCCTACTGGTGTGGTGGGAAGGGTTTTTCTGCTGGAGCCAGGTGGCTGGAAACAACACCTGCCCTGGGGTTCCATGGGCACATCCCAGCCTGGCCACAGGCATCACTAATGCACTGTCCAGTGGCCTTTCCTGGGGCATAATGGCACTGGCACTTCAGGAACTGAAGCTGCTCCTCAAGGAACAGAAACTTCCTCTCCTCTCAGCTCTGCAGAAGAGCAAAAGTTCCTGGTTCAGGCCTTGGAAATAATGAGGTGAAAGGGACCCCATTAAAACTTCCCCAAAACAGGATGAGATATTCTCATATGTGACTGGAAAATGGGCAAACACAGCCTGCCTGGACAGGCCCCTCCTCTCAAAGAGCCATGGAAAGGCTCCTGGGTCACAGGAGAGCTGGGAATTCAACATGAACTAGGCCTGCTGGAGTGCTAGGAAAAACCCTAATCAGCCAAAATGCAGCTAAAGACACTGAGCACACTGGAAAGGCTTTCTGCAGGTGCTTCTGCAGGGTTTTCCTTGTCCCCCCAACAGAACCAGGCCCACAGCAGGACAAGCTGCTTCAGAGAGCAGGAGGAGAGCAGCAGCTCCAGGCTCAGGGGCAGTGTGGGCTGCCTTAGGCTCAAACCCAAACTGTTTGTGCTGGAAGGAGCTCAGGTTCAGTCCATCAGTGCCTCACCTTGCTGGGCACACAGCTCTTTATTTAGAAACCTAAACACAGAACCAGGGCCCAGCTTCAGATAATCAGATTTTTACCCTCTCTACAAATACCTTCCAAAACACAAGTTGCCACCCTGGAACCAATAGTTGGTTTTTGTTTGTTTGGTTTTGGTTTTGGTTTTGTTTTGTTTTGTTTTGTGGTTTTTTGTTGTTTTTTGTTTAACCCCAACTTTAATGAATTGACTGAAAAGTTTCTCAGTACCTTTGCCATTAATTAAAAAATAAACATCTTGTGACCCTCTCCTAAGGAAAAATGCAGCGGATGTAGCTCCCCTGCCCTGGACACACTTAGATTTAGCTTGGTTGACTCCCAAAGGCCATGATCCAACCGGATATTCAGGCACCTGTATAACTTCAACACACTTCTAAGGACCGCTCTGAACTCTGGCAAAAGGAGGGAAAATAAATTTTGCTAAAGCACAACTTTATTTCTTTCAAATCTAATTTTTCTAGAGTCTTGACTGCAATGCATCACTTCAAATATTTCCTATTTACTTCCTCATGCAGAATATTTGAATATTAAGCCAGATATTTTTATATTTCCACAAATTAAATGCACCATGGCTGAAGGTTTGACAGAAGCTCTAATTTGCACATAAAAAGGTGGAACGATTTCAGTTTTGACAGCACAAGCTTTTGATTTGTTAATAAAGGCAATTCTTTCTCAATTGTGAACATACTCCCCAAATAAGACAATGCAGTTTGTAGCAAATAAAAAAAAAAAAAAACAAAACATCTTCCTAGTGTAGAGAATAAACTTTTGATCCAAAGTAAGTGTAGGAATTCAGATTTTATAAAAATAAAAGAATGAAACTCACATTCAGGCTTTAGCTCTACCAGAGCAGGGATCAGAGGAAGATCCATGTTCCTGCCACTTTCTCTGTGCCTGTTGTTGGAAATATAACCTACCTCCAGTATCTTTGGATGAATTCCTTTACTAGAAAGTACCTGTGAACAGGGGAAGTACTTTTGGGGTTGGGGAGGTGAGACAGAAAATGGTTTGGGTGAAAATCACCACAGATTTTCCTGGCGGTGTTCTAATTAAATGCAGCTAAAGAACACCAGGATTTCAGACTCTGGTGACAAAACCCAAGCATCACCAAGTTTGTAAACCAAGATACAACCAAGGCTAAGAGACAAGAGGCCACACCTTGAGAGTGGCCCCTCTGTGCCCATGTCAAAGCCTCCTCTTCCCTTGAGACACCACAGAGCAGGAGAGAGGGTAGAACTCCAAAGCAGTCTGGGCAGAGCCAGCCATGCTTAAGCATGGAAAAAAAATAAATTTTGGATTTGTGATCTGAGATCTAAACTTTTCCCTGTGTGACAGCCAAAAGTGTCAGCATGGAAGCAAAGTTGAAAGTGCCCAGGCTCTGTTTCAGGATATAAAAGGGTAACAAAGCCCCTGCCCACGGGCCTGCCAAGGGCTCGGCTTTTACAAGCTTGGCACGGACCTTGGCCTGGCAGCAGAGGTTGAGTGAAGCTCCTGCAGGAGGTGGGGAACGAGTCCAAACAGCCGGAGGCACAGAGCAGCCCGTGCTGGTGTCACAAGCGCCCACTGTGGGGTGCACATAACCCAGAGCCCTGCCCCGAGGGCTCCCGGGTGCCACCCGGGCACGGGTGGGCACGGGCAGAGGGAGGAGCCAGCACAGCCCCACATCCCTGGGAAACCCTTCCCGGGCTCTGGGCAGCGCTGCAGCCCCCGGGCACGGCGGGCACTGGGCAGCAGCACCTCCTGCTCCAGTGCACCCTGGGCCTGACACACCCTGGTGCCATCCCTGCTTCACTCTGCCACGGGTGGCACTGGGCACACTGCTCCGAGGCACTGGCCCATTTAATGCAAAACCTCCTGATTTCTGCTAATTCAAAGCTTTTGTGAAAGACATTTTTGTTTTCCAAACAGTGTCCCCTTCTGCTTTTCTTTGCTTGCATCTCACCACAGTTGCCTCCTAATCCAGTGTTGGTGAAACAAGGCTGAAGGTATTTTGGTCATGTTTTCACACTCCTGATGTACACTTGCCTTGTCTCCTTCCACTTTCCTTCTGACTACACTCTGCTTCACAAATGCAGCCATCTGGCACAACATCGCAGTTTTTTTCTGTCGACACCTGAGTAATCAGAGCCCTTTTTTCTTCCTTTTTGTTTTCATTTTTAAATAAAGCAAGTGCTTCCAACTCCAGTGCCCAGGCTTATAACAGGAAGCCACATCCCATTAATAAAAAGCAGCAGAAGTGGGAGGTCACTGGTATTAATGCTAGAAAACATTTAGGGTGAGATGTGAGAAAAAATCTGCACTCGGTATTTCCAGCTTTAAGATCACTCCTTAGGAAACAGACTGCTTCTATACATTGTCTGTGTGAAACACCTATAAAACATTGATGGCAAAGTTGTGGCCCCAAAAATTCAGAAGAGTCTCACCACACATTGCTGCAGGGCCAAAGCTGCATCCCAAGAGGTTCTTTTCTCAAAGGACCCCTCTCAGACTCACCCTCTCATGCCACACTCATCTTTCCCATGGCAGAAATAAATTTGATAACATTAACTTGATCCACCTAGCTGCCATCTCCTCCACACATCTGATCCTACCCCTGAGCTCTGTCCCCGCTGGAGCAAAGGATGGCCACCACCCCACAAGCCCCAGTGATCTGGACACCCTGCACAGACGGGCAATGGAACAGCTGTGCACAGGGAGCTCCCAAATCTCACCCTTGGGCACTGGGACAAAGCACAGGGGCCTCTGCACCTTCCCCAGACTGACAGCTCTGGCTGCAGCTCCTCTCACTGCCCTCCTTCCATGCAGCAGAAATTGGGTCCTGCCAGCTCCACAGGGGAGGATGGGGACAAGGGGCAGGGCTGCAGTGGCTGCCCTGTGTCACCACCTGGCCAGTCCAGCACAAAGCAGCCATGGCAGCACCTGGAACACAGACACAGCTCCATAGACCCCATCATCCCCCTTGTCCCAAAGCACAGGCATCAACAGTGGCATTTCTGCTGTCAATACCCATTGGGAAGTGCCATTGATAATGTGCCAGTACAAGTCAGTAATGTGTGACTCTATAGACTGAGCCTGCTGTGAAATCCCTGCTTTTCTTCCCGTTTGTTCAAACAGAGTTTCCCAACAGACTCTCAGCAGGCACAGCCACACTGGGCATTAGTGCCACAGCAGCCCAGGACTCTGCTTTGCTGGGTGAGCAAAGAAGATTTGCTGATGGTAGGAGCAGCCTCTTCCCTCCACGAGCAGCCAGCAGGGGCCACAGCATCCTTCTGGGATGGATTCACACCATACGGAGATGCCAAATGGGAGGGAAGAAGTTTGACATAAAAAGCTCAATCTAGACCCCATCAGGATCTGAATGCAGGCTCAGAACCAGGCTAGGACAATCTGGATTTTGTGAGAAATACCTGTTTTTCAAGATGCAGCCACCTGGTAGATCCTTTCTTCTCTTTCAACCTGGAAAGAGAGATGGAGCAGTTGATGGGGGAACAGAAAGGCTGTGCAAATTACAAGCTCTGTGGAAAGTTTCTGTGCAAATAACAGTTTAACACTGAGAAGTTAGGTTAAAATGGTTTCAAAGTCTAAAATTAGTTACATTTAAAACTAACAGCATATGCTTTTATTGTCTCTGATCTAAAATATAATCCCAGGAGGCTGTGAAAAGCATGCAAATTACAGAAAGCTAATTTGCTCCAACAGCGACACCTCCCATGTAGTTGGGAGGTCTATTAGACCCAGTGTACTCTCCATTATTTGCATATTAATAGCACCTGCTGAAATACTTTGGGATTTACTTTTCCTGCCAGCAGAGGGACGAAACAAACAAAAAATTTATATAAAATTCCTTTCATACAGATTTGATTAACAATAAACTATTCAGACAGTGCAAAGAATGCCAAATTATTGAGAGGCAATGGGGTAGGATTGCAATGCCATCTGTGATTTTCAGAGAAACTGGACTGCAAGTCTGCTTCAGAAAAAAAAAGAAATATCCCAAACCAAAAAAACCCCAAACAACAACCAAAAAAAACATCTCTAGAAAGTGCTGGGTAATTTGAAATCGCTCACTTGGCTCAAGTCTGAAGAATGGAAAAGTTGAACTAAAGAAATCCAGACACTGCAGCAAGAAAAAATGAAAAATATGACAAAAAAAATCCTACACGTCCGCAAGCCCCGAAAGCAGAACCCCCCAAAGTGGACCTTGATTAAAAGTCTACAAAACCTCAGGCTTTGATATTAGCCAGGCCTGCAAGGCCCAGTCTCCTGCACATAAAACAAAAAATAAATTAAAACCAGCTACAGCCTGAGATTTACTTAACAAGCCAAGTTCCAGCCTCTGCTCATGACCACTGCTTCCCCTCCTGGGCCCCGAGCTATAAAAAAAGCCCCTTGCATATTCCTAGAGCTCATCTTCCTCAGGGTGAGGGTGAGAGCAGCTTCCTCTGCACAGTAGCACATGGAAAAATCTCCTTTTGCAGCTCCTTTTGCAGCCAGGCCGGGCGGGATGTGCCGCGCGTGCCTCTCCCTGCAGAGTGTGTTGGGGAAAGGGACCAGGGACACAGCGACATTCCCCCAACCTCTGCTTCCAAACAGGCAGTGGGTGTTCCTAAAGAAGCACCAGCCACGTGCTCATGCACCCCACAAGGGTTACAAGGGGCCTGTATTTCTCTGTGTTCCCTGTGCTTTAATTCTGATTATGCACCCTCTTTTAAATAGGCATGGAAGGGCCCACCAGAGTTACTCACTGCTGGTTGTAGTGGTGTGTCAAGTTCCTGAAGCATTTTAACTACCATCATATTCCCAAACCAAGGAGGCAATTGACTTAAAGTTAAAATGGTTAAATTGTTCTCTACACATTAAAAAAGTTGTGAGAGAGCATTTCATGCAGGACAACAAAGCAGGGAAAAGTGCAGTAGCACAGCCACTGACTCCATCCCTTGGCGCTCTGTTACCTGTGCCAGGGGAGGGGAGAGAAGCAGGGAAATACATTATTATTGGGGAATACATTATTATTGGGGATACATCATTATTGGGGATTACATTATTATTGGGGATACATCATTATTGGGGAATGCATTATTATTGGCCTCTGCTCACCAGAGACAGAGCCCAGTGTGTCTTTGATCTCTGCACAGCCAAGTGAGACCTCTGAAAAACTTGCTCAGTGTCAGTGCTAATTACTGGAGGAGGCAATCAAACATTCCAGCAACAGGGACCCCTGAAATGCTGCAGACAGGCAGCTCCCACCACGGCCCTCAACAAATGCTAATTCTTGTTAATGCCCATGGACTCCAGAGCGCTGCAGCACTGGCAGGGATCACCATTAGCTGGGAGCTAATTAGCAGTAAGTTGTAGCACTGGTTAAAGTTGCAGGATGGCAACCAGATGCAAACCAGAGATGCACTGCTGGTGGTAATTTCCAGCACATTTTTGTGTAGAAGGAACCTCTAAATAGCTGGAAGGGAAAGGAGTGACCAAAAGGTTCCTGGGAATCCTCAGCGGTTCAGGGCACAGAGAACCAGCTCAAAACTGTTACAAACTGAGCCCACAAACAGCACTTGGGAACCCCCTGCAGATTCCTGTGTTTGGAGAGGTGAAGCATTGAGAGGGATCTGTCCCCTCATAGCCAGGAACAGATCCTGCCCTGGGACACAGCAGGGCCTGGAGATCTGTGCTGGTACTGCCTGGCATGTGCACAGCTAAAAATGCCCTGTGCTGCCCCACAGCCCCTCTGTGAACTGTGCTCCCAGCCAGAGAGAGCTGGGCACTTGTAATGATAGCAATAAAAATAAAAATAATAATGATGGAAAAAAGCCACCCTGGAAAGCAAAACCCAGGCCACTCCCTATTATAACAAATCATATTGGATGTTCCTTACCTGAAATTCCATGAGCAATTAGCAAACAGAATGCTCCACAAATGCCTCCATGCCCCACACTCCTTGTGGTGGTTTGGGCAGCCACATTCCTAGCCTGCAGTTTGCCATCCAGCTGCTTCCAAACCACAGCTTTTTCCTCTTTTTTTTTTTTTTGTTCTCCTGATGAAGTTCATGGCAGTCAGTGTTTTACCACCTGCACGCTGGGAAAGAAAAAAAGCAAGAGGGAGAGGATCAATATATACAGTGTGTTTATATTCAGTGAGAGCATGTTGCAGAGTGGGGAGCTGTGATGTGTGTGTTTGCATTGTCTGGGAAAGGATCCTTAGTGGCACTGCAGCTGGAAAAATTAATGTAAGAGCAGGAGACTGTCTTCAGTGACAAACTTTCACTTGGTGAGTTACAGTTCTGTTGTAAGGAAATGATACCTTGAACTGCAACTAATTTGTGAATCCCAGGAAAGGCAGAGCACTGATTCTTCATCAGGACTGCATGACCTGATCTATAAAAATTTGGGCCTCAGCAGGATGTTGTGGGAAAGTGTGATTTGCATTTCAATTTTTAGTCCACCACAACCTTTAAATCTTCTGGCAGCACTATCACAATGCAAGTTTTTGGTCTCAGTGTGCTCAAAACACATACCAAAAATAAAAAAATCCTGGTACAATGGCAGTCATTTGCTAATGGGACAGAAAGTAGCATTTATGTTCAAATTGTTTCACAGAGCACCATTACATCAGAGTCTTTCATCATTTTATGAGGATCGAGTCCCCCGACAGCATCCTTGGGGACCCCATGTGGTGCTTGTCACTATCATTCCACTCGCACAAACACCCTGGCCCTTTCAATTTTTATCTGCCCAGAGCCCAGAATATGTTACATTATTTAGGTTTTGTTCTCTATGAAGAACTCACAACAAATAAAAGACGCTTCCCTGGCAAAATGAGCCTGTGAGTGCCAGTGAAGGGAATTTCAGGGAATTTTCCCTTTGCAGGAGGGGCAGCAGCTCTGCCATCCCTCCTGCTGACTGATGGCACCGCTCCAGCCCATCCTCCATGGAGCAGCCACTAGCACTGGCACTGATGGCAGGATGCTCACTTATTTCCCTAAAAAACTGTCTGGGTCAGGCTCTGAACCCCTGCACACGCTGGAGATGAATTATTCATGGACCAGGAGGGCTTCCCTGTGCCACTGCTGAATCAGGGAGGAGGCTTTGCAGAGAGGGGGAAATCCACTCCAGAGTCCTTTAGCCAAGGAAATGCTCCCTGAAACACTCACAGCCTTTCCCCCAGTGCCAGAGGTGGGGTCTCCATGGCCATCCTGGGGGCTTGGGAAGCCAGCTCAGCTGAGTGCCCAGAGCCATGGAACAGGGTTGCCAATGTCCTGGCACAGCTCAGCTGCCTTTCCTTGCTCCACACCGAGCCAGGGTTTGTCCTGAAGAGCTGCACATGGCCACAAATTGAGATTTACATTTATTTTGGTGACTGGATACCTGCTTTCCTTTTTATAGAATATTACTGCCACTTCCTCAGGCGTGGTGAGACTAAGCAACCCTTTCTGGGAACATATTGTCCAGCTAACTGAATTTCCAGGCTCCAGAGCTCAAAGGCCAAGGCAAAGGTGCAGGAGTGTGGGCATCATATCAACATCCCAGGTTTTTCCAAGTTTTCTTCTGCTTTTGCTGTTTCTGGGGTTGGTAGCTTTCCAGTGGCTTGAGCAGAGAGAGGCTTAATGAGGGCCATTTTTTGTACCTGTTTCTTAAAGGCACTTCCAATCCCTCTCCTCGTTGGGGCCCAGTGATTTGTTTCCTTGCGTTGGCAAGATTGTAGCCCTTGGGTTGAACTTCCACCCCAGCTGCTCCCCTGTAATGAATGGAAACCAGATCTCCACTGAAGGTTACAGCCCTTCCTGAAATGCAGGGTGAGGGTGCTGCTCCAGAAGGAAAAGTCACTCCTGTACCTGAGCACCTCTCTGCAGAGACATTTCCAGGGGTGATTCTACAGGACACTGAGACACTGAGCCAGGACATCCCCAACAGTCACTTTTTCAAAAGCTGCTTTTGCTCCACTGAGTGTCTGAGAGCCCAAGTTGGAATATGTAGGACTGAAAAAGCAGTCTGGTCCTGAACTTCCTGCTAAAAATAAATGAATAACAACCTTCACACAAAAGCAGGATAAATAATTTTTCTTTTCTTTCAGGACACGTGTTGAGAGCACAGAAAGCAGTCAGAAGTACAGCTTTTACCAACTGCTCTGCTGCTTAACATCTCTGGCATTCAAAACATACAACTTCTGTGTTTGTACTACATTTCCCTAACAGCTTACATCGAGGCCAAACACACAGTGTTCTGCAGAGGTCTTCTAAAATAAGCTTATTTAAAAGAGCAAGGTCAATGCCCAACACATGTCAGATTCTGTGAGCAGAAATCAAAGAGTTTGGGGCAAATGGGATATGTCAGGACTCGGTGGATTCCCATGCCAGGCTCTTTTACCAAGCTCACATTGCTGCTGCCAAAACCAGTAACAATCTCATCCTGTGGACTTCAGCTCTGGAAAAATGTCTGCAAAAACCCCAGTCTCTGCACACGGGCTACTCAGCTCAATAAAGAAAACTAACACACAGATATAAGTGTTTATCTGGACATGCTATTTATTGTAACTGTGTTTTTCTTTTAATATGCTGATTCCATACTTCAGCCCTAGGCTCTATTAAAATAAAATTTAAAGCATTAGTAATGTAGTTAATTCCATTTATAATATGACCATCAAGTCAAGAGAAAAGAGAACGTTAGAAATATATATATGTGTATAGATGGCTTTAAGAACTTTTTGGAAAAAAAAAAAAACATAGTTCCATTTTGATCTTTGCTTTGTGTTTTTTTTTTTTTTTTTTAATTAAAAAAGGAAAAGTTTTTCCTGTGTTCAGACAGAGTAACTCTGCCTGGTCTTTTAAGCCAGAATGATATTTGTGATTTCAATTAAAATATGCTATTGTCACTTTAGCCTCCCTCTTTGGTATTTTAAATTGATCCTAATGGCTTTGCCTTAAGTGATTTGCGTCCCGTAGTGAATCCCTGTCACTTAGAGCACCTCCCACTATTGCCCTCCCGAACAATCACTCCCGATAATCGCTGCTTCCCCTTCTCCCGGCGCTCCTGCTCTGCCCGCGGCTCCTGCCGCTGCTTTAGGCTGCGAACTGTTGGCTCTTCACCATCCCTAACTCCGGGCTCGGCCAGGCACGGAAAAGAGGGACCGGAGCTCCTTGGAGAAGGCCAAGCTGGTGGCTCCGGAGCGGGGGCTGTGTCTGTCCCGAGGGCAGGAAGGGAAGGGTGGGTTGGGGTTGTGACCTCCCCGTCCTCAGTGTGGGGCCGGAGAGGGGCTCACCCTGCCCCAGAGCTCTGGGAGAGGGAGAGCATTCCAGGGAAAGCTGCCCAGGAATGCCCAACTTCCCCTGGAGGCTCCCCCGGACAGATGCCACCAGCAGAGCCCCTCCACGTCTGTCTGGGAGCTGCCCCTGCCCCTCTCCTGTCCCTCCACGCCGTGAGAAGGAGCTTTCTCCTTCTCACAGGAGCATCCTGTCTCCTTTGCCTTTCATGGATCTCATTATTAATTGAAGAATCATTTAGTTTGCATAATTGTCCTCTGCCATACGTAATTCCAACCTTTCTCTTTAAATTGGCTTATTAAACTAAATACAGTCTTCTGGTTTTGTGGCTCCTGCTATCAAAACTTCCTAGATGGACAGCCAGGGTGATGGGAAGAAAAAAACCAAACTAATAATATTAGGGAGCATCCTTTTATGTACATTTATGAGATCTACCAGCAGGTGACTCCATTCTAAAATATCTGTATTTTCATAAAACAAAATGCTTTCTTTCCTACACCCTGAACATCGTCACGATGCCCCCCTCCATAAGATTTAGCACTCTGAAAAAAACAGTGTTAAATAAATAGCACTTTTGCTTAAGCTATGAACTATTTCTTTTTGAATAACACATGAAATTGAATTAGAGAGATTCAGGGATTTCCAGAACAGCCTGATGTGTTCCTGTCTAATCAGACCTGATTAATTCAAATCAAACTGCAAACCTCAGTTTTATTTTGCTTTTAAAACTCCAGCTCAACAACAAATCAGCAGTATGTAGATATCACAGACGCAGTTAACAGGAAAGCCTACATATACCGAGCCTCGTGGAGTCAAACGGATATGATTAAACATTTGGCATCATTTATTAATATTTTATATTCAAATATATACAGAGGGGCTGGGACCAGTCAGGGAGATGCTCTTCACCAGGGACAATTATATTTATGCCTAAGAAAAGCAGATCCAGCTCAGGTGTCAAAGGATGTTTCTTCAAAATAGAAAAATTACGAACAAATAGCAGGGTTATGTGGGAGGGTTTGTAACACAGAACTGCACTAAACCATGCAATGATCTACACAGATAATCAAAGTGCTCCCGCCACACCGAGCGCAGCAGAATAAATTAAGATAAAACAAAATAAAACAATCCCACAAATGCAAGATTGCAAATGCAAAAGAGGCAGCCGTGCAAGAGGTACTCAGAGATTTACTGAGCCATTATTGCAGCACAAGGCACGCTCAGAGAGGCTCCCAGACCTGACCAGTTTAATCCACATCAGAGCAGGGCACGCGGGGTCGGGAGGCTGACTGGGTTTGGGCACTGGGCACAGCTGTTGTCCTTAGGTGCAATCCACTTGTCACTGGTGGTGGCACTTTGCATTTGCTGTGTGGCAGCATATGTGCTTGCCACATTGGGGACCCATTACATCCCTTCAGCCTCCAGCCACTTCCCTTCCCTTCTCGTTAGCTGGGTGTCCATATATCCTTCCACACTCCTGCTGCATGGCAGGGCCTGCTCTGTGCCCCCTCTGCCTGCTCCCAGATTAAAGCCATCTGTAAGTGGGGCAGAATTATTCTATGCATTGCCAAATTTACATACATATATCCACATCTGTAAATATATATATAAATATATTTATATACACACACACATACACAGACATGCTCTGCATGGAGTCATGTCTATTCCATCACTGACCTGCTTAGAAATATTTTTGCTACCAGGGAGAGTTGACAGAGATGAAGTAAACCTGAAGAATATCCAAAGAAATCTTTCAAACTAAAAGTGAAGGTGTAAAAAGGGGAGGGGTTTGACTCTATGTGCACATGTCAGGCTC